ATTAAAATAAATACATTCTTAACATAAGTTTTAAGACAAAAAAATCATCTTTTAAAATGACATTGACATTTTAAGATGCAATAAAGGGATCTCGGAAGTTTAAAATGTCTAAACATTTTTAATACTCTTTCACTCAAATTTAGTTGTTTTATTTTTAAAATAGAAATGATCTGATTTAATTATTTTATTTTTTATTTAATAATACATTAAATACTAATATTTTAATTTTTATTCTTATATCAAAAGAATAGAAATGCATTAGTATTTTTTTGATTGTTTAATCATAGGTAAGGGTAAAAATAGAAAAATAAGTCTTAATTATTATAATAAATAAATTTTTTATTAATCATAAATAGATAAAGTGAGACAATTAAATTTAACCAAAAAAAGTAATTTTTTTAATTGTGTTAATTTATTAGAAATATTTAATTTTTTTCATTTTTGATATTTTAATTGTTAATATGAGTTATTTTTATTATTATTACACAAAAAATTTATCAAAAAATTTAAAAAAGAACATTATCCGTACGTTCCCTCTAAATGTAAATGACTCATGTCCCATGTAGATTTAATATAATTATTTATGATTTAAAATTTAAATTTATTAGCTTAGAAGTTACCCATTAATCACCAATGACGTAAACACTGCATGCTTCATGATCCAATCCTTCTTTTTTTTTTTGGAACAAGAGTATAACGAAGAGTATTACAGAGACTATGCATAACACTTCTCGCTGTCGAACTTGGTTTGAGGTGGCTCAAACTCTATAATGTTAAACAATTACCAACTTGTAAAATACCAAAAAAGACTAATAAAAGGACGAGGGCATTCCAGTCCAGTCCTGCCATGCAGTAGTTGATGCAAAATGAAACAGCTTGCCGCTCTAGTTTGAAAAAATGGAAAAGAGAAACAAAATCGTCGGTGTTAAGGTATACATTTTATAGTAATTCAATCCCACTACGCCTACTCTTCGGGATGATAAAAAATCTTTATATTCTAGCTGAAAAAACTGTAAACTTGTTCGGTGACAAAAGTATACTTATAAGCTAAAGCTGTGACACTTTCATGGAATACCAACAATTGAACCATGTTTCTGGCATCGGACCACTTTCAGATCGGCGCACTTCGCTCTTAAACACATTTGCCTTAACAAGCAAACGTGCCACTGACAGGATCTACCGGCCTTCAAACAATCCACTAGTCGCATTTGATGTTTCTATAGATCCTCCTGACAAATGAATTGGAACCCAGGTAACCCACTGCTCCTGAAATTTTGAAAGGAGGAAAAAGATAAGAAAACATAAGATATAAGGAGAAAAGAAGGAAAATGGGCAGTCAATAGACGGAAAGGAGGAGGCAGGGTTCTCAAATCCAACTAGCATCAACTTACCGCAAAGTATTCCTAAACCAAGACAGAGCATTGATGTGTACCCAAAATAAAAGCTTGTCTGGAAAAACCCTGACATCTTGGTCTTCACATGGTAATAATATATGGAGTATAAAAACACATAGAAAGCAGTGGAAGCAGCGGAGAAAAAGGCAGTCCATTGCCAGTGATAGTTCTCAGCGTTCAACAAGAAATATGTCCCCACAATTGTCACACACATGGTAACAATTATCAGGATAAGAAAAACAAGCAACATGAATCCGTAGACATAGTACACCTGTTAAAGCACATCAAGAAAAAAACCATAAAGAAGCTAGCAGTTCAAACCATGGTAAGAATGATCAACTATACAAGATCAACTGTAGCAATAATACAGGACAAATGCAAGCAATGTGTCCAGATTAGAGCAAAATTATGAACCCACCCATAAATACACGACAGAGCATGGCATTGCCACACTACTCACTATTTGATCATAATCATAACAAGAACATTACATATTTACTTACA